TCGGAGTGAATGTCTTCCGCACGAGGAGCATAGTAGAATCCGGCGATGAGGACGAGGTAGCTGCGGGTGTAGGAGTAGGATAAGCAGCAGGAATGGGAGAGGAAAACAAATACACACCTAAGAATAAGGATACTCCCCGATGATAATTACTCTTAGCCTCGATATATGTATACGTCAACAAAAACATCGAGAGGATGATGGCGATGACGTCCCAGCGCGGGAAGATGAGTCTATGCAAGGGCGAACGGACGATGTGAAGAAGGAAGGGAGAGAACGATGAGAAGGGAAGATTATATCAGACGCTGGAAAGGAAAGGAAGGAAATAAAGCACGTACGAAAAAGTATGCGCAACCTCTCCCATCTTATCTGGGAACCACCAAGCCGAGAACGCGACCATAGCGGGGATCTGGAGTAGGCAGACTTGAAGAGCGTATGCGGAACCGATTTCCATACTGCAGAAAGTGGTCAGTCAATCAGGGTCAAGAAATGAGTGTCAACAGAAGGCAGCGGCGTCAGAGTTGACGAAAAAAGAAAGAGAAGGAGCAGGTAGGGTTTAAAACCGACAAACGGAAGTGAAAGTAACATAAAGAACGAGTGTACAGTAAACGTAACCGATAAGAATACACATACCTCAGCGCAATATTTCCATTGAGCGCAAACGAAATCGCATTCATGAACTCTGTCGTATTGGGCACTAGCGCAAGAAGTGTCACTCCTAAAAACTTTTCGTCCAACCCAGAGTCACCGAGGATGACGTCGATCACATCGACGAGAATTTCTGTTGAGGAAGGCAGGTAAGAAGACGAGAAGAGAGTCAGAGAAACAAGAGGGAAACATACCGGCAATAACCGCATACAAAGCCGTACAACCCAACAGCACACTTGCACTCGTGAATCGACTCCAGCTGGGTGCGTCGTGACCTCCGTGGCCTCCTCCGGCACCTTCAGCGTGCGCGACACCATGAGCAGTAGCCCCGACACCGTGACCATGTGCAACAGGTTCCATCCCACCACTCGACCGCATCCGTGCCGGACTATGACTGTATCCGGTTCTCAAGCCTGGATGCTGCTGTGAATGGGCTAGTTGCTGCTGCTGTTGGAGCTTCAAAGCACTAACAGTAGCCACCGCCACAGCCCTTGTAAAGTCGTCTGTGGTGACGTTGAGCGTGGTGCAGGTGTTGGTGCCCGACGCAGTGCCCGATGCAGATTCAGGAAGTTGTAGAGAAGGCATGGTCTGGGACTTGACTGCTTGGTCGACGGACTCGAGGAGTGGTGTAAACCCAGTTCCTGTTCCGGTGCTGGTTCCGGTCAGGTTTTGAGGAGGGATGGGAATAGTCATGGACGCAGAACCACCGGTAGCAGGAACAGGAGCATACGAGACCCTCCTTTGGTAGGTCGGTGATGCCGGTGTACGAGGCGCGTTGCTAGTATTGATTTGGTGTTTGCCTCCTCCGATGATACTACTCGCTTTCCGACTCAATGTCTTCACAGTCGCAGGCACGGGTGGGATGAATTTGGTGTAAAGCGATGTGCGATCGTTGCCGCCTACTCCACCGGCGCCATGTGGGTGGACACCAGCAAGATGAGGATTATGAACAGGCAGCGTATGCAGATCCATCGGATTCAATAACTGCTGCGGGTTCTGCCAGATTTGGGATGCATGTGTGCGGAGGGAGAACCAGAGACCGACGAGGTAGGACTGTGTGTTTTGAGAAGTTAGGGAAAACTCGATATTGGAGAAGAGATGGGAGACTCACGAAGATCAACACAGCCGCACAAAAGAACATCAGACTCTTCACCGTCGACTGATAGAACGGGTCGTGGACGGGGTCGGGATGCTGGTAGTAGCATTGATCGCAGACCCAGGGTTTATTTAGCTGGGTGAGAGATGGTGTGTTCGGACAGCCTGTGCAGATTAGTTGGAACTGCACGGGGCAAGTCAGTAAACGAAAATAGGAATCGTGATTAAAACAAGGAAGAAAAAAGAGAAATAAATCACAACGATGAACGACGAAAGCACAGCAACGCAAAGAAACGAAGAACGTCGGAGGACGGGAAGTAACAGAGGCTATCAAAAGCAAGAGTCACGAAAAATCCTTCGCGAAACATAAAGAAACAGAAAAACGACCTCTACCAAAGTCGACAACGAGTCTGAAAATGATACTCACATTCCCATAAGTCTGATAGAACAACGTCGGCGTCAAGGCTCCTACAATCGCCATGATGAGCATGACGCTAGTGACTCCCGCGCTACCAGCGTTGAAACGGGTTTCCTGCGAACGAAAAAAAAATAAGTTGTAGTCAGTACAGTTCTTCCATCAATTCCCCAGAACTAGACACTAACCTTCCTCCTCAACGCACTACTAACCATACTCATCCCCGGCATCAACCCCACTCCCGCCAACAAACTCCCCACTATACTCCCCTCCACCAACCTCCCCTTCCCCTTCACCAACGCAATCGAATACAACAAAATCTCAATAATCGAACCAAACGTCGCATTAATAACCGCTCCCATCCCAATCGAAGACTGCGCGCTAATAGACGCCACCGCCATACCGATAAAGTAACTCAACGGAATCACACTCAACAAAGAGAGGAGGAAGATCACGCCTTGGCTAGCAACCGCGTGCAAGAAATGCGGGACTGGCCTTCCCTCCTCCTCCAACTCCTCCTTCCACGCTAACAACACAGCCCAATCGAATATCACAAAGAAAACGACAAAGAGGAGGTTGACGAACATGATATTGACGCCTCCGATGGTGTATTTGTAGTATTTGAGACCGAGGGCACGGTATGTGCATAGGAGGACTACTCTTCGAGGTTGACCTGGTTTAGATAGGCTGGTAGGGTAGTAGGATGAGCGAGGATGGAGTTTAGGAGCGGAGATGGATGTCACGGAAGCGGAAAGACCAGTGTCAGGCTCAGGCTCAACCTCTCCGTCTCCGTGTGCGATTCCGTCCTCTCCTTGTTCTTCATCCTCTAAAGTTGTTATTTCCGGCGCCGCACAAAACCGGACAGTCCTTGGCTGTTCCCAAACACACCTAACCAGCGCCCAGTTCAACTTGGCCATGGGGATCGTTAAAACGAGGCCCCAGCAGATTAGGGATACGATTAACAGGAGAGGGGTGATGAGAATGCAAAAGAGGATGTAGAATATAAGGGTGTTTAGTAGAGAGATCAAGTAAGGAAGGGATATAGATGGATGCGTATTGGGAGAAGATGACGAGGAAGACGAAGGAGGGGTGGTTTTACCCAACCCTGCAGTGGAGAGAGCACCGTATGATTTGGCAGGGGTAGTCTGCAAAAGGGAAGTCCGCTCGTGCTCGGATGTAGGTATCCAGGAGGAGGTTTGCTGATGGCCAGCAGCACCGGGTACGCCACGTATAGTAGAGAATGACGAGTTGTTGTTGCTGTTGCTGTCGCCTGAGCCTGAGCTTTGAGCTCCGGCTGGGCCTTCGCGTACAGTATGATTCGATCCTTGTCCGTCTTCCTCATCCTCCTCTTCATACCCTTCGTACGGTGTGTAATACCCATATTCATCCAACGCATCATCATCCACGACCCCTTCGACGTATTTACCGAATGGCCAGGCGATGTACCAAGCTAATCCGAAGATCAGCGATGTGTAGCCTCCTCCGTGCACTGGTTCCGCGTCTCCATCTGCGTTCGCATCATCATCTTTCTTCTCCCCGCTCAATTTGCTCCCTAAGTATATCACGCCCCTCCCAACCGTCTCCACTAACCCCATGACACCCGCCAGAATCCCAAGTACAATTGCCATCCACCATCCGAATCCAAACAGCCAACATAGATTGGCTATGTTCCACACTTCCCTTTCTACCTCCGCTGAAGGTATGGAATGCAGAGCCTCATCAGCGTAACGTGTCACCGACCTCGATTTTTTGTACAAGGCAGGTTTCCAGATGGGTAGACCAAAGGGATGTTGGACATTTATGAGGGATTGACGGGCACGAAGGTTGTTAATGACGGGAGTAGCGTCTCCGTCTCCGTCTCCATCAGTGTCGGTATCTGCCTCGGAATCGTCAACATCTTCGGGGTCGGCGGATGAGGGGTCAAGGTCATTGTGTTCAGCGTCAACATCCTCATCCGCTTCACTGACAGCTTCATCATCTCTAAACCCTCTCGAGCTGGAACTGACACTGGTACTTCTCATACCTCTCCTCTGAGTCGTAGAATGTGTGGAATGAGCAGAAGATGAACGCATGAGGATCGGAATTGGCGCTGGGGCTGGCGTGGCTGATGAAGCAGGTCTAGTTGCCGAGCTTGGTCGTCTTGGAGTTGGAGACGTAGCTCGCTGACCATGTCTAGAGCTGAAGTATGAGGATTGCTGCTGTTGATGTGGGTGAGGCGACCTCGCTCCACGATGTGCATGCAAATTGCTGAAAGGGGTCGGGGTCGAGCTTGTGTAGACTTCATCGTCATCGGAAGACGGAGAGGAAGGGATGTTGGGATTCGGGTTGGACATGGCGATAGCCTTCAGAGGGAGAGAAAACTATTCGCAAGCTGTTGATTCCGATTTTACAATAACATCAACAAACGAGCGTACCTTTATTCTTTGAGATTCTCGACTTGCACAAAAGACAGACACGCAAGCGAGTCTGCAAACTGCCTCGAGAACTAGAGAAAGAGTCGGAAACTAGCGAAAAGCCAGCCTTCAGCTAGTAAGAGCTTTCCAATAGCACTACAAGGGTTGGAGCTTTATAGCTGTCCGGTACTTTGAGCTTGAGTCTGTGCCTGCAAGTTTTCGTACGGGCCAGCGACTGGGGAATGCCTCAAGTGGACTGGAGGACAAGAAAGGATCGGCGTAATGATTTGTCAGGCGTCAATCGGAAACTTCCGGCCGGCATGCGCGGCGGTACTTGAAGTGTTTCGGGGAATTTTTACCAAATTAGAAGAAATAAGTAGAAGATTGGGTTGTTTTTGAGATGGAGAAAAAAAAGGTAAAAAATAGAGTATATAGGAATCATATTCCGTCATTGACCCCTGCCCGGATTGAACGGACGACCTTGTGGATTCACTATACAGTTAGCAATAGCAAATGCACTGGAATCACACGCTCTACCACTGAGCTAAGGGGTCATAACAAGTGTCGGAATAATTTAGATATTTACTTATCTACCTATTATGAGTTGCGATTCACTTCAGATAGAGAGGAAGTTAGCTTCGGTCAGTCGTGAGCAAACCGAAGTGGATTCCAGTAACGTTTTATTGACCGTGTGGAAGTGCTCACAGTAACTGGCAAGCGGAATTCTAAATATGCATTAGAGTCTAGTAGCAATTGCAATATTTGTTGGTAGTTGAGCAAGCCTCACGATTAATCCAGACACTGGAGAATCAAAGACTTTGGTACTTAGCAGTCGGAGCGGAGTACAAAAAATAAACACAGCACAAATCGTTTCGGTATTATGCCTCCTACTAAGTTGGATTAAACAACTGACCTTTGCATGCATCTGGCAGTTTCACATACAAGTGCAACGTTCTACCTCTGAGTTAAGAAGGCCCGTTCGAGCATCATTTCAAGCCTCTTCTAACTCTATGGACACAGATTCCAAACGTTCCACGTCTGTTATAGACTTATAGTCCAATACTAGTCCTCTTCTCTCTCTTCATCAAATTACATAGCTGCTTTGAGTGGATATTTCCCGGAATCCATCTCCCTTTCAAAACTCGTCTTCAGTGCCATTAATCCTGAGGTTTTTCGCAAAAGAATTCAACTCAAACCGAGACTCCCGCTAGCGCTGTAGAACAGAATATGATAACAGCAACCGAACGACTCGAGAGTCGACATACATAGTACAAAACTAGTAAATTACAGCATCGATCTCCGAAATCCTGATATTTGAATTCAAACGGTAAGTAACTGTATTCTTTGGAGGAGGAAGTCAGAAGGGGACTCACCACTGAAGCAGAGCTCTGCCTTAATTACAGACTCAGGTTTGACATGTGAATACATCTGTGCAAAAGTTCTCGTCGCAAAATGTATACGAAAATTGACAACCGCCGATGTTACACGGGTAAAGACAAGGATCTCCTTCTGCGCAAACTTGTCCACACCCCGGAGTAGCTTCCACTGCCAGTACATTGGGCACGCGCGACTGCCAAAGTTGAACAGAGTATCAGAAAACGCGAAGACAACTAGTTTGCCATTGAACTCACCGTACTACCAGCAACACTTCTAAAAATGAACATGGTTAGAATGTCATGGTTTAAATAGTACAGTTAGAAAAGCGACTTACGCAGTACTTGTAGAGGTCTCCGAGTCGGTAGAATCTGCGATGACTGCATTGATAGCGGCGGCCATAGCAAGGAAGATGATTGCCTTGAACATGATTACACTGCAGATGGTAAGTAAGGAAGGCCCTATAAAAATTATCATGGATTTTATACTACTTCTGAGCAGCAGCAAGCGCTCTGGTGTCCCGCATGCGAAAAGCCTGCAGCTGTGTCGATGGTATGTACTAACAGAAAGACAATATCAAACTTTAACTTGAATACAAGTACGCATGCCACCTCTTAAGAATTTAAAGAAAACTATGTAAAATAATCTGCGAAAACCGCGGCTTATCAATTTTTTGGGGCTAAGTCAGGGAAGTTCTATACGATGTACACCATGCAACTCAGCTGTTCAGGCATTAATCGATGCATTAACGGGAGTACGAATGAAAAATCAAGACAATTCGTTCCCTTGTTGCCAAAGATGCTTTATCAAAACTGAGCCTTGACCTACTAAGTCTAGTCCAGGTTTGGATAAGTTGTTCAATTGCAGGTATTTGTTGAATTGAGAGTAGATCATGAGTCCACAACGCCCACCTTCTTCCTCCCTCTGATGTAGTGGCGTAGGGTTTCGGATTTCAATCGATGCGTAGGTACTTACTACTGCCGCCCGACGTCAAGAAAGCCCATGCTGCTGTGAAATGAATGAGGTTTGCTGCGTATAGTAAGAGGCTAGCTGAACATAATATAAACCTGTTGCGCTCAGATATCAGCAGACGCACCTCCATAAAAATCGGACCATGGTCCATCACCCGAAAGTCGACGGATCCAAGACACTGGCATTGGTAGCAGTTGTACACAGGGATAATGTGCGTACTTGACAGTATCTGAAGAGCGCATTTTTTTTAGAGTGAGTCGAGCTTTAGAGTGCGAGACAGAGGAGAGAGAGGCGGAGGTTAGCTTAGTGAGCACTAGGCGTAACCAAACCAAAGTGATTTCCGGTAACTAGTATTCTGGAGGTAACTGTGAGGATCGGAGGTGTGGAAGTAGTACTTACCTGGAAATGGAATTCTAAAAAAGCGTTACAGTAAGCCTCAAATCAATCCAGACAGAGGACTTGAACTTGAAACAGTAGTCTGAACGGAGTACAATTTCAAAAATAGCACAACACGCCGAATCAGGCCATGCCTCCTAGCCGGATTGAACGACTGACCTTGGCATCGAAAGACGTACAAGTGCAACGCTCTACCTCTAAACTAAGAAGGCATTTCGAGGTCAAATACTTCAAGCATCTCCTCAGCTTGAGGCCAAAAAGGCATCCAAACAACTCGGAGAGTAAGGATTTCATCTCTACCCTTGCCTTCACTGACCGCAGGTCGACCAATGCGGTCTCATCGCATTGCACTCGATTCTCGGACCTGGCAGAATTAAATAATGTATCAACCTTTACACGCATATACAACACATATACAAAGCGTTTGGTCATACTTGATAAGCACCTTATTTTGACCTCTTATTTATCTGAAAAACTCGTAGCTAAACCTCGTCGAATCGTCGCCGTTTTTGATCCCTCAAAACTGGTTCATAATGTGAGGATCGGAGATGTTGAAGTACTTGACTGGAAAGTGGAATAAAATACATCAGGAACTATTGATAATTATGGTAGTCAGTGAGTAAGCCTCGGAATTAATCCAGACAGTGAAAGACTTCAGCCCTTAGTAGACTCGTAGTCAGAGCAGAGTACCGATGAATAAAATAAAATAAACACTCCAAATCCTCTATACGATCATTTTTCCTTATCGCTCCTCCATTTCTCGATACTTACAGAAACCTGTAGCAAAGTGGTATTCCAGCATTTTTGGTGAGCTTCGGCATTAATCTAGACACAGAGAGAAAGACTCTGGTATTTGGACTACTAGTAGCAATAGTCTGAGCGGAGTAATAATTCGAGAAAAAATAGCACTCCAGTGCACACTACTTCAGGCAGTGCCTCCTAGCCGGATTGAACGACTGACCTTTGCATGTACCAGCTAAAGGAAGCGTCGATACAAGTGCAACGCTCTACCACTGAGCTAAGAAGGCTTATCCAGATAGCACTCTGGTGAGTTTGAGATTACTGGACTATATCACTGAGTATATATCAAAAGCGAAATACATCCCTCACATATGTAAGTGCAACGCTCTACCTTTGAGCTAAGAAGGTATATCCGGGCATCACTTCAAGCGTTGTGTGAGCTTGAGAGACCAGAGAGTACCGCTAATTCACCCTAAGTGCCATATCGGAAGCGAAATCTGAGATCTCAAACATTCACCCACCATCCAAGTGCACAGGGAAACTGTGAGGGAGAATCGGAGATGGCTACCGCGTGATATTTATCAATAATAGGGACAGTCAAAGTGGCCACTGAAATGATCGCTGAAACGTCGCTGAAATGACTGCTGAATAAATCACATTTCATGTTTCAGCGGCAGTTTCGTTGAACGACCTTTTTTTTCCGCTTAATTTGGCTGCTGAAATATAACTGCTAAATTTGAGTTTATACTGTAATCATGCCACAAAAGGAAATTTATTCCACTTCTATACAACTCTCCTCATGCCCTATGGTGAACGACGTCCAGCACGAGCCAAATGGCTTGTTCGAATCTACACCAAGTTTCAGTCTTGGCGAGAAAAGCGCGCAAAACATCATGCTGAACGCGAACAAGAGGCTGGTGTCTCCAACAGTTTTTTTTCGCGGCTTCGAAGATCTTTCCTTACCAGTGACGATCGGCCGCGGTCTTTTCTTGAGTCAAATAAGGAATTTTCAATTTTCGCGAAGCCCTAACCCTATAACTACACAAATGATTTAGGGTTCATGCAAGTTTCAGCCGCTGAAAGCTGTTTAAGCAGCTCCCGAGCTGCTGACAACTTAAATCGCCGCTGAATTTTTTGGCCGCTGAAATGTGTTTTCAGCACAGCTTTCAGCGATCATTTCAGCAGTCACTTCAGCAGCCACTTTGACCGTCCCTAATATATCCAAATGTGCTATGCATTTCATATGAAGCAAAAATATTGGCTCACAAACTCAATTCAAGGACAATGCCAATTCCAAGTCTCAAATCCTCTATACGATCATTTTTCCTTATCGCTCCTCCATTTCTCGATACTTACAGAAACCTGTAGCAAAGTGTATTCCAGCATTTTTGGTGAGCTTCGGCATTAATCTAGACACAGAGAGAAAGACTCTGGTATTTGGACTACTAGTAGCAATAGTCTGAGCGGAGTAATAATTCGAGAAAAAATAGCACTCCAGTGCACACTAATTCAGGCAGTGCCTCCTAGCCGGATTGAACGACTGACCTTTGCATGTACCAGCTAAAGGAAGCGTCGATACAAGTGCAACGCTCTACCACTGAGCTAAGAAGGCGCTTATCCAGATAGCACTCTGGTGAGTTTGAGATTACTGGACTATATTAATTAATCCAGACAGTGAAAGACTTCAGCCCTTAGTAGACTCGTAGTCAGAGCAGAGTATCGATGAATAAAATAAAATAAACACAGCACAGATCGTTTAAGCCAATCTAATTGCAACATGCCTCCTAGCCATATTGGACGACTGCCAACCTTTGCATGTATATGGAGTGCAACGCTCTACCTTTGAGCTAGGAAGGCATAAGTAGTATAAAATATAACTTCAGTCTAGATGTGCCCTTGAGAAGCAGAGAGCTAAAACAGCGTGCGTGTGTCTTGGGGAGTCGAAGTAGTAACTGCGATTCAAGGTAAAGTGAGGTAAAGATGTCACAGAGAACTCAAATTCCGCTTGGGCCCATCTCGGAATCTTCAATCCAGTCTTGCATCAAATTACTGGACAATCTTGACTTTCAACTGCTATCGTCCGTTTGTGGTCAGCCACTGCCAAATGCAACGAGCATGTTCCGAGTCTTTCAGGCAGATTCTTCAACAAAGAACTTGAATACTTCAAGAAAATTCTGTGCTTCATAAGATACATCAATTAATTACAAATACTTACCCTCCTACTACGGACTCGGACTCAGCCCAGCCTGCTGAAGTGTTCGCTTCGTGCCTGCATCACTTGGAACTTTAGCCACCCTCGCCTTCGCCTTCCCCCTCTCATTCCCTGAAAAAATCTCAACACTCGCGCTCGTTTTCGGCTTCTTTGGAGGACGGGATGATGATGATGCAGCTGGCTGATTGCTTGAGAATACATCTTCCAAGCCCCCAGCCAACATCGCAGACGAACTACTGGATTGAGATCGTGTGGATGATCGTGTCAAACGCCCCATACGAGGAGGAGCACTAGGACCGGCCAGACCTACAATGAAAATTGAGATGAGAATGTCAGAAATATAGTAGATACTTACCTTCTGCAAATAAGTCTGGGTTATTCGAGAACCTCGATTTGCTAGGCGATGGGATGGGACTGTCGGTTCCCAAAAATTCAGAGTCAGGAACTGTGTTCGGATCATACCACTGTTCTGTGATTTGCTTAACCAATTGGAGCGCATAGAACAGGGGATGGTCATCATTCCGCTCCCAGAATTCATCGTGATCAATGTACTCTTGTTTAATCGCTTGGTTAATCTGATAGCGAGCATGATATAAGGCATAGAAGGGGTTGAGATGACTTCTGAGATTTTGCATCACACCATCCTCATAAGGATAGTCATGCCAGTCGGGTCTGGTGCCGGGTTTGTCGGTCCCATCAGGTAGAAGTTGTTGGCGGGAAATGGACCGACTAGGGTCCATATGGAGTTTAACTAGACGATAACGATAGGTGCGACGCCTGAGCTCCTAAATAAACAATTACACACTCCACCTAGTATAGGTATGCATAAATGTAGACACACCCTGAAATGATTGTAGCGTATGCGAGCATCTGCTTCGACACATTCAACGTTGTGGTTGGCTACTTCCAGCATTTTCTCTAAAACTTCGATATCGACAGGAATGAATACAAAGCCCATTTTATCAAACCAAGGATGGATATCGAAACGCACTGAAAGAATATGTGAGAGAGTGTAGGCAGAACAATCTCCGACGTACATAAAATGATATTCCAACGTGAATTAAGATTGAACGTTGCTGCCTTCATGCCGAAGTGCCATTCTACTGTTCGAATCTAAAAATGCATTAAAGAGCAGCAAAGGTTACAGAGGAAGATATCGTCCTCACCAAAGATTGGTGTTTCCGCGCAGCCAGTGCTTTCTCGATGGCATGGCATAGGGCTATGTCTGAAGGAAATTTCTCCCCCTTTGGAGGTGCTGGAAATTTGACAAGGGTAACAAGACAGCGATCTCCAGCCGGAGCAGCAGCAAAAACCCTTTCTTTCGTCTTCTTGCTAACTGCTTCTCGCCACACAATATTCCGAGCTGGCGTTTTCACCTTGAGCGTGAATGTCGCAGTGAAAGGATTGTAGCTCGAATCTTGCTCATCGCCTGAGTCTGTCAGACTGGGAACGTCTTCCTCGTCAACGTCTTCTCCGTGGTCCGATGAATGACTGGACGGTGTAAGGTCTGAGTCCCAGTCACCATCGTTGTTGTTGCTGGAGGTAGATTGAGATGGACCGTGAATACTCTGACTATGAGAGGGAGGAATGCCTTCGGACATTGTGGGATGGAGATTTACTGAAGTTTTGCGTCGAAAACATCTGGAACTTATAAGGCGCTTGGGGTTGCTTTGTCCTTGGTTCTACTGTTTCCATATCGCGAAAAGAATGGGGTTGATTTCTGCAGATTTCCAATTAGAAAGAACAATGAGAATCCGTTGCCTATTATGTAGAAGATAGAGAACAAAGGTCGTGCAGGTGGTCGCGCGTGGGATAACTATCTGCGCGCTTATTTAAAACGCGCCCTGTCCTCCTTCTTTCGCCACTGTAATATGGCGTCCTCATTCCCAATCACCTCGCTCACGTCAATTTCAGCGGTTGAGAGCCTGGAACCAGTTAAGGAATTCTACTTATTCAAACAAATAGGACGAGTATGTTCTCCGTCAAATTCCAAGGTATCCTGATGATTTACATTTCTGAAACCTAGTTCCGCGCTCGCGAATACTGGTGGGGCCTTGAACCCGGCGAAATTGACATTGATTCTCACCTTAATCGCGTCTCAGGTGAGCCCACGCGTCTTGGCCCTTGAATCTTCTCTCAAGATATCTCAGTGCGCAGTGATATTGAACGCCTTCTATCTGGGAGAGCTTTGACTCTAGTCCCTACCAAGGATGTCATTGATACCATGCTGGAGCTCACTCTGTATAATCAAAAGCACTCCGTTTTCGAGAGACGGCGGTGCTTCGAGGTGTGTCCAATGAAGTCGCGCTACGTTTTGTCAAATTCTCATTATTGTCTTGTAGGCTCTTCCTGATCGACCTTACCAGTACCGACTTATTCCTGGTAAAGAAATGAAGAATCCAATCCCTCTCTTTGCCTTCGACTCCAGCTCTGGTACTTTTCAGCGATTCGACTATCCGTATGACAACCTTCCGCTGTTCACCCTAGACTGTTATCCTTTCCACTCCGTAATGCACAGCGACTTTGCAATACCTCGTTCACGCCCCATTCATGAAACTTTTCATGGTATCTTCAAGTTATCCCTTCGGTGGGCATCTGAATATCCTCATGTCGGTAGCTTCGTTACCTCTCCTCGCGTCGCTGCAATAATCGCTGCTGATGCTGCTGCTGATAACGGTGATGACCCTTATTCCGACTTGGATTCAACTTCTTCTGAAGAGGATGATATGCTATCCGATTCAGATGACTCTGTCTCTATCGAAGGACCAAAGAATACTGGGCCTGTTTCCCTCTCCAAGCGGGCAGCAAAGCATATTGCCTCGTGGCGCGAGACTCTTGAGCCGGTAGCGCCAATCGTCGTTACGGACTTGAAGGATGGTTCAATTCAGGTTTCGGAGTCTAGGACGCCCGTGGACGTGGACTAGATGTAGATTTAAGTAACGATTCAGGTTGTATAATATATTTTCTCCCTTTGCTATCGTGCTATGCATATTCTTCTCTATCTCTCCCATTGCTATATTTGATTCATGCATTCTTGTATATCCACGTCTCTTCGTTTTCTTTTATGCATTTCAGTGTAATCACGCTTCTGTGGGCTTGGGTTCGCATCTTAGTTTGTGACTTTGCAACATTTAAGTACAGTACTCACTGCTGCTCTATCATCCAGAGAACACTAGGAGGCAAATATTAGCCTCAAATAAACATAAAAACTATGAATGAAGTGGAATCAAAGCAAACATCCGAGCCGATGATATCAGAAATACATTGGAAATACATACAATTTCTCATCTGAACGATCACGGATGAATCCGAACTGAAGCAATCCTGAACTGGAAGACATGTCGAGTAGCCAGGAAAATGCTACAGTTCTTCTCATCGGCGGAACAGAAAAGGTTTCCAGTCGCATCGCTCGTCTTCTCGCTGCCACCCAACGTCCCATCGATGTCATATTAGCCTCCCGCTCCGGAACCTTGCCTTCTACTCTACCGAATACCTGTGGCGTCAAGTTCGAGTGGAACGATGGCACGACCTACTCAAACCCATTCACCACCTCCAAATCCCCTATACGATCATTTTTCCTCATCGCTCCTCCATTTCTCGATACTTACAGAGGCCTGTAGAAAAGCCGAATTCCAGCATCTTTGGTGAGCTTCGGCATTAATCTAGACACAGAGAGAGAGACTCTGGTATTTGGACTACTAGTAGCAATAGTCTGAGCGGAGTAATAATTCGAGAAAAAATAGCACTCAAGTGCACACTAATTCAGGCAGTGCCTCCTAGCCGGATTGAACGACTGACCTTTGCATGTAACTTGTCAGAGAGTGTTGATACAAGTGCAACGCTCTACCTTTGAGCTAGGAAGGCATAAGTAGTATAAAATATAACTTCAGTCTAGATGTGCCCTTGAGAAGCAGAGAGCTAAAACAGCGTGCGTGTGTTCTTGGGAGTCGAAGTAGTAACTGCGATTCAAGGTAAAGTGAGGTAAAGATGTCACAGAGAACTCAAATTCCGCTTGGGCCCATCTCGGAATCTTCAATCCAGTCTGGATCAAATTACTGGACAATCTTGACTTTCAACTGCTATTCGTCCGTTTGTGGTCAGCCACTGCCAAATGCAACGAGCATGTTCCGAGTCTTTCAGGCAGATTCTTCAACAAAGAACTTGAATACTTCAAGAAAATTCTGTGCTTCATAAGATACATCAATTAATTACAAATACTTACCCTCCTACTACGGACTCGGACTCAGCCCAGGCCTGCTGAAGTGTTCGCTTCGTGCCTGCATCACTTGGAACTTTAGCCACCCCGCCTTCGCCTTCCCCCTCTCATTCCCTGAAAAAATCTCAACACTCGCGCCTCGTTTTCGGCTTCTTTGGAGGACGGGATGATGATGATGCAGCTGGCTGATTGCTTGAGAATACATCTTCCAAGCCCCCAGCCAACATCGCAGACGAACTACTGGATTGAGATCGTGTGGATGATCGTGTCAAACGCCCCATACGAGGAGGAGCACTAGGACCGGCCAGACCTACAATGAAAATTGAGATGAGAATGTCAGAAATATAGTAGATACTTACCTTCTGCAAATAAGTCTGGGGTTATTCGAGAACCTCGATTTGCTAGGCGATGGGATTGGACTGTCGGTTCCCAAAAATTCAGAGTCAGGAACTGTGTTCGGATCATACCACTGTTCTGTGATTTGCTTAACCAATTGGAGCGCATAGAACAGGGGATGGTCATCATTCCGCTCCCAGAATTCATCGTGATCAATGTACTCTTGTTTAATCGCTTGGTTAATCTGATAGCGAGCATGATATAAGGCATAGAAGGGGTTGAGATGACTTCTGAGATTTTGCATCACACCATCCTCATAAGGATAGTCATGCCAGTCGGGTCTGGTGCCGGGTTTGTCGGTCCCATCAGGTAGAAGTTGTTTCGGGGAAATGGACCGACTAGGGTCCATATGGAGTTTAACTAGACGATAACGATAGGTGCGACGCCTGAGCTCCTAAATAAACAATTACACACTCCACCTAGTATAGGTATGCATAAATGTAGACACACCCTGAAATGATTGTAGCGTATGCGAGCATCTGCTTCGACACATTCAACGTTGGGTTGGCTACTTCCAGCATTTTCTCTAAAACTTCGATATCGACAGGAATGAATACAAAGCCCATTTTATCAAACCAAGGATGGATATCGAAACGCACTGAAAGAATATGTGGAGAGAGTGTAGGCAGAACAATCTCCGACGTACATAAAATGATATTCCAACGTGAATTAAGATTGAACGTTGCTGCCTTCATGCCGAAGTGCCATTCTACTGTTCGAATTAAAAATCAGGCCATGCCTCCTAGCCGGATTGAACGACTGACCTTGGCATCGAAAGACGTACAAGTGCAACGCTCTACCTCTAAACTAAGAAGGCATTTCGAGGTCAAATACTTCAAGCATCTCCTCAGCTTGAGGCCAAAAAGGCATCCAAACAACTCGGAGAGTAAGGATTTCATCTCTACCCTTGCCTTCACTGACCGCAGGTCGACCAATGCGGTCTCATCGCATTGCACTCGATTCTCGGACCTGGCAGAATTAAATAATGTATCAACCTTTACACGCATATACAACACATATACAAAGCGTTTGGCCATACTTCAGATAAGCACCTTATTTTGACCTCTTATTTATCTGAAAAACTCGTAGCTAAACCTCGTTGAATCGTCGCCGTTTTTGATCCCTCAAAACTGGTTCATAATGTGAGGATCGGAGATGTTGAAGTACTTGACTGGAAAGTGGAATAAAATACATCAGGAACTATTGATAATTATGGTAGTCAGTGAGTAAGCCTCGAGAGAGAGTAAGTGCAACGCTCTACCTCTGAGCTAAGAAGGTATATCCGGACATCACTTCAAGCGTTTTGTGAGCTTGAGAGGCCAGAGAGTACCGCTAAGTACCATATCGGAAGCGGAATCTCAGGAAATCTCAAACATTCACCACCCAAGTGCACAGGGAAACTGAGGGAGAATCGGAGATGGCTGCCTCATGATATTTTATCAATAATATATCCAAATGCTATGCATTTCATATGAAGCAACTTG